TGTGTATCTCTGAGACCTGATGGTCACCGAACCAATACACCCACGTCTGACCCTTTTTGGCCGCTTTTTGCTTACAATGCAAGTGAGATATGATAAGAGCCGGAAACCAAGTCTTATAGTTTGCAAGAGTTCCCCAAACAATGTCTCCGATTTCAAACTAAATGCACCATTTTTTCAGTCATTCATTTCAATTACTAATTCAAACACTTTTTAAAACAATTATTACCTCATATTTACCAACCGTTGGACTCGATTTAGGCTTACGTTTCGCCTCAACTTTAGGCTCAGTTTTGATAGTTTCCGAAGAGACGAGTCTCTCGGGTCGAGAGGTCTCGCGAAATCCCCGAACGCGTCTGTCCTCTAAAACTGACTGATTATTAAACAAATCATTAATTCCTGTATTCATTGGCTGTAAAATTATCTTATAATTAAAAGTGAATTATAGTTTATATAAAAAGTAAATAAATGTTAATTTCTAATAAATGATTGAATGCACGAATTATGCATTACCTAAATATTACAAATGAATTGTTTCAAATATTTTGGATACTCTTTAAGACATTTAAAACATATATACAATTCAATCTCGTGTTCGGAGATCCGGAGGGATAAAAAATTGAGTTAAATGCTGGGAGTGAAATGCAATTGATCATGTGTTAAAGTTGAGTCATAGTCACTCATTTCATGATTTCATAATTGTTACCATCATTTTTAATACTCATACAATTATTTGAACGATTGGTTCACACAATCAGATAATCAATTGTTAATTTGAAAGATTATATTTAGAAAGGCTTAGCGACGGATAATGTAATGAATCGATCGATTACTTGATATGTTATCCGTATTTATAATAATGTAATAGATTTGCAATCAATTTAGAAATGATAGCAAACTATAGCTAAACAAAAGGATTATAAGTAATGATTTGTTCACCTGATAGTAGTCGACTTGTGTGGGCAATAGTCTGAGTCCATACTTCCCTCTCTGCAAGGGGTTGACGTCTTGAGCGCTGGAAGTGTCTCTACTGTTAACCAATTTAGGTTTCTTTGCCATCGGTTCGCAAGTTTTGTGCAAAATGTGTCTCACATTTTGTGACTTTCGCTTTGATTTAGTAATTTTCTCGCCATTTATTACATTTGAATGAATAGTCACTTCAATTGTAAAGCAAAGCAATGATTAATACAAACATTTGTAAATCAAATTGAATACAAAACTGGTTTACATTTGATTGGATTCAAAGTCTTCTCTTTGGATTCATTGCTCAGATCTAACGGCACTTCCGATGAAGACATTGCACTCAAAATGTAAACCTGAAAACAAA